GTTGATGCTATCTGCAGCGCTTGAGTAGATTCCATTAAACATGGCCCTGCTCTGTACATATAGTAAAGTGGAAACTGGACACATCTTTAGAGCATGTGGACAGAAAGAGAGAGAGAGAGAGAGAGTGAGTGAGAGAGAGAGAGAGAGAGAGAGGTAAAGAGAGAGAAAAGAGAGAAAGCATGAAGAATCTGAGAGAGAGAGAGAGAAAGAGAGCGAGAGAGAGAAATATGAGAAAAAGAGAAGTTAAGTAAGAGTGAAAGAGAGAAGGAATAGAGGCTAAGAGAGAGAGAGAGAGGCTGAGTGAGAGAGAAAGAAATGAGAGAGGGTGAGAGAATGAAAAAAGAGAGGGCGCAGAGTAAGACAGAGAGAGGAGAAAGAGAGAGAGTGAGAGAGAGTGAGAGAGTGAGAGAGAGAGAGAGAGAGAAGCAGGTACATGCCTGTACTATTGAAAGCATTAGACTCTATCATCGTTCAGCCAGGAGAGCCTATCAGCTTCTCCACATTAGCCTACAGGCTGCAGGCTTGTGCTGGGGGAGATTAGGAGAGAGGCCAGAATCATACATCTGTCTGTGTGCTCCACTGACAGCGCCCAGAGACAGAGCAAGGCCGAAGGGCTGCAGAGCGCCGCTCTCTGAGTCAGTCCCAGCCCTAAACTTCCTCTAGCCCAGTCTCATTTCAGCAGAATTCACCCTCATCTGCTCCCCATTTTACATGTCTGCTGTTGGCATATTTCGCATTCATTCAGCAGGTCACTCAATTCAGCCTCTGGATTAAGACCTCACTAAAAAAAAACAATCTTACTTGTGATATCCCTTGCACAATTGCACCTGCTCAAGTTATATCCTGCCTGACCTATATTGTTGCACATACGTATATATCCAAAAGTTTGTAGACACCTGCTCATCCAGCGTTTCCTCTGAAATCAAAGATATTAATGAGGAGTTCGTCCACCCTTTGCTGCACTAACAGCCTCTACTCTTCTGGGAAGGTTTTATGCTGGTTGTTGGAACATTGTCATGTGCTAGATGTGATCACATGTGAAAACATGTTCTCATGTGAAAAAAAAGTGTCATTCCTTGTAAACACATATGGTTTTTGCACACTTTAGATGTAAAATAATGTGACTTTTCTGGAAGGGTAGTGGAGAAGAAATAAGTGTTAATGTTTAATCAAGCTGCAGATACGGTCAGAAAATGTGCCTGGGGGGACCTGTTAAAGCAAGACCCAATAGCCTGACAGAGCAGAGTCTGTTATTTTCTACCCATGTTTCGTTTGAAATGAATAGTAGTTTGATCACAGCAGATTACCAGGCCTGTTTGCAATCATAGAACCTCTGGTTAAAAATTAGTGGGCTAATAATTACGGGCTACCCGATACCGATTCACATACACTTAGCGCATGTCTGTGTAAACATTACCATTACATGTCCTTATCAAATAACTGCTAATAGATTTACTAACCTACTATTTTATTATAGTAGGCCAACATACAGCCTACATAAAAGGAATGGAATTAACATGTTCTTTTCTTCTAATCAATTTAGGAACTCTATCAGTTCTGAATGCCACAATGGAAATGTTAAAACATTTATCTGTCTCATGTGATGTCACTGTATGACCGCACCACCATTTCAGTGACCAGGAGAATCAAAATGCCTTGTATGTGCTATTCAGTTTAATACAACAACAGCCATCTAACTACTGACTGAAGAACAACAATGAAAGCTTCACTATATTCTAAACTAAGCTAACTAATATGACTATGTTTACTTTGGTGCTTGTGAAGTAACATAAGTAACATTAATGTTTAATTAAGCTGTCAGAATAGATCAACACAATCATCAAGCATACCCAAACACAGCGAGTTCACGCAGTTCACTGCATAATATACATAATGTTTACAAACTAAGGTAACATACCAGTCTAATTTTATTTATAGATAATATCTCTCTGCTGTTCACATACAGCTTTTCCCTTTATGTTTCTGTCTCACATACCTATCCAGCAAACAATCAGCAAGAGCCAGTCACACTTTTACCGGTACAACATACAGTGGTGTGAAAAAGTGTTTGCCCCCTTACTGATTTCTTATTCTTTTGCATGTTTGTCACACTTAAATGTTTCAGATCACCAAACAAATTTAAATATTAGACAAAGATAACACAAGTAAACACAAAATGCAGTTTATAACTGAAGATCTTTATTATTAAGGAAAAAAGAAATCCAAACCCACAAGGTCCCTTTGTGAAAAAATTGCCCCCTAAACCTGATAACTGGTTGGGCCACCCTTAGCAGCAACAACTGCAATCAAGCATTTGCGATAACTGGCAATGAATCTTTTACTGCACTGTGGAGGAATTTTGGCCCACTCATCTTTGCAGAATTGTTGTAATTCAGCCACATTGGAGGGTTTCCAAGCATGAACCGCCTTTTTGAGGTGTTTTAAACTGCATTTTGTGTTTACTTGTGTTGTCTTTGTCTATTTAAATTTGTTTGGTGATCTGAAACATTTAAGTGTGACAAACATGCAAAAGAATAAGAAATCAGGAAGGGGGCAAACACTTTTTCACACCACTGTATGTCTATAAACACTGCAATTATGTTTTTTAGCAGCACCTCTGTAAGGTGTTTAGGCCGAGTACTTTTTTATTAGTAAGAGTATTGTTCATGTCTGAACGGGTAAAGGAACTCTGGTGAATATGACAGCTGCACAAACAATATCTTGTAAAATAGACATAGGTTCACAGTGGACAGATTCATTTTTTGTTGCTTAAGAGCTCTGCATTTAAAAGAATGCAATGTACAGAGATTTTTTAACCATTCCTATTTGTCCATATGTCAATGGTAAAAATAAAAACAGAAGAAAAAGGAATTATGAGATTTAGATACAATAACTTCATAATATATCAATGTTATATGTATTTTGTGATGCCCTTTATGGCTGTATCTTTGTACTGTTTTGCATTCTTTACTGTTTGTAATTCCACCAAAACAAATTCCTACTGCATGCAAGTGCACATGGCCAGTAAAGTGATTCTAATTCCGATTCTTATTCCAACTGTACTAAACGGAGGCATGGAGGCACGTAGATTATAGCTAAAACAGTTCCATGCAAAAACTTCCTTTGCTTCTTGGATATTTTTCACTCCTCCTCTTCCTCCTCTGGTTCAAGCTCACTGACTGACCTTGCGCATACAATTGCATCTCACCAAACTCTCAATGGCTGCTCTTAATGAAGGTCTCTTGGCTGTATTTTGCATTATGTATAAAGAGCTGCCTTTCCACTTCCCATTTCTCGGATTTGCATTCCAAGAAGAAAAACAGTTTTCTTTCTCTCCCCCTCCTTTTTTTTTTTTTAAAGCAGGTCGAGTGCATAATGAGAGCCTAGATAAAGGCTAAGTAATGTCTAGTGCCCGCTTTTTTAAACACGCGCCTCTCTTGAGGTCAAAGATGTGAGGCGGCGGAGTGTTTTTGCTCCAGATCCCTGCTCTCCTGGGGCAGGCCAAAAGCAGCTGTTCACCACCCAGAGTAAATGCAGAACCCAAACAGTCTGCCATTACTGGTCGCTGCAGGAGGCACTCGTCTTCAATGTGAGGCCTTGAAATGCTTTGAGTCATGTGGAATATCCACGTGTTGTTCACAAAAGGCAGCATTCTCTGATCACAACTACTGGCAAAGTACATGTAATAATGGCAAAATGCTGGCCATAACACAGAGGTGGTCTTGGGGGACTCCAACTAACATGACAAATTAGCTGCTCTTCTCTCCACCTAACTTTCCCAAAGCTGTCAATGCAATTTTCCAAACATTTCCAAAACATAATTTCTTCTAGCAAAGACACACAAATAACAGGAAAATGCAGCTGACAACAGACCCCCCTTTTACCTTCATAGACAAACAACTCAAAAGCTCCTTTTCATGTCCACAAATCACAAGTGAATCAAACCTGGTCTTGCTTCAAAAGCGAGCTGCAGGCAGTGAGAGTTGCTCAAAGCGAGCCAGTCAGTCCATTACAATAAAACAGGTGAGACAGGTAGCAGTAGAGATACAGCACCATTCACGTTTGGAATTATTTCTCATGCTGAAGTTTTTGTCATTGTATATGTAATAATAACTTCTGATTTATATATTAGGCCAAATGGTACAGTCAGTAAAAGGGTATTGTACAAGTAGATTTATGTTCACAAAAGGTATAAACAATATAAATGTACCCTAAAAGGTCCAATATGGTTCTTAAAGGGGCATTCCAGCCCTAGCATTTAATATGTTATTCGTCATTTTATATAGTTTTCTGTAGTGCAACATTGCCTCATCCTCATTGATTTGACAGAATTCACAATTTTGTATCCAATTTTGTAATTTTACACTGCATGTGTGGTGCATATATGTCATACATCCCATTGGGAATCCCCCCCTACAGTGATAAAGAAAGCCACTGATGCCCCACTCATGAGTCTACTAAACACAGACATGATATGAGGTTTCCTGGCAATAATGTTAGCTATCTCTCTCCTTCTGCAGCCAGCTAGTGAAAAACAAAAACATTTCAAAGAGCCTGCCATCATGTATCCATCCCAAAATGCTTTAAGCTTTTCAAAATTCCTCCCACCTTCAAGATATATCATCAGTACCGGGTTTTCCTCATCTTTAAACCAGAAAATCTCACTGTGGAGTCTATTGTAGCATCACTGTAGGAAGTGAGTAGGCATGTTTAGAACAGGTGTAGCAATAGTTACATGTTTTATTTTACCTGGAGTGCCCCTTTAAGGTCCAGTTGTGTACCTTAAATGAGTTTACATTCAGGACTACACTGAGTGTTTTTTCTGAAAGTGTATTTTTACACATTTTAATTAGTGTAATGGAAAGTTGCACAAGATAAGCATTTTAGGATCACTTTATATGATAATCTACACCTAAGTGCTTTTATAATACTGAATATATTTCCTTTTGAATGGTGATTCCAAACGTCTGAACAAAAGTACAAAGAAGCGTCACACTCACCCAGTGGCTGTCCTGCTATGATCCTGGCATTTTCTCCTGCGACTGCAGCCCGAGCGTTGCGCTCGCTCATGTACTGAACGAAGGCGTAGCCCTTGTGTACGGAGCAGCCCACGATCTTGCCATACTTGGCAAAGATAACCTCGATGTCTGTCTTCTTGACAATGGCTGTGTTGAGGTTGCCGATGAAGACTCTGGAGTTGAGGGAGCGGGGGTCATTCTTGTTGGTCACGTTGCTGGTCTGACTCTTACCAGTCATTCTCTTCTGCTGGGTCTCCTGAAGTACACACACAGGAGCACGCTTGCTTAGAGATTAGACTGAGACTAACCACAGAAATGTGTACTTAAACAAAACCCAAAAACTATTTGCTATGTCCTTGACGGAAACGAGATGCATTGTGTTGTAGTTTAATTGAATGTTTGTGGTTAAATAGCTATTATGTGATGTGTGTATCAAAATGGAAAATTCTTCAGGGAGCAGAATGGCTCAGACTGTGTGGGAGTTATTTGAAATGACTCATTATCACTGTATGTTGTACACGTAGCCTCTTGTTGTAACACATCTATGTTTTTCTTCCATGTCACTGAATTCAATATTGTATGTGATAATGATAGCCTTTTGCTACGTGGGCTGGTTTTCTTAACCCTTTGTTTCTTATTTCTTTGTGAAATATGAGGTCATTTGGAAAGTTAATTGTCTGGTTGACCTACTGTTGCTCCATTGTTACATAGCAACCATTGTTAGGTTGGTGCTTTGTCTAAATGTTGAAAAAAAACATTCAATCTAATAAGATACTGTACTTCACAACATTTGTCAAAACACCTAAATTTATTACTAATTTTAAATGATGATACATAATGACACATTGTACCAATACATTTGATGCAGAATATTTGTCACTACGAATGTGATTTTAAACCTGCTTTTGATTATCTATAACATAGGTAAGGAAGTTAGCTTAACATTTTGTTTTTACCCCATTTTTCTTCCAATTTAGTTGTGGCCAATGCCTACATACAAGGAAGGACTCGTCCTGTTACACAATGTTCACAAGCTGGAAGGGTGAATGCTCACACGTGCTTCCTCTGTGACAGGTGAAGCCATCTTTTAGTGCTTTAACATCCCCAACTGCTTCTAAAGCAATACCATTGGACAGCTCAACATGCTTGGAAGAAGTCAGCTACCAAACACTTGCACTAGCTAGCTAATGCTGAGAGATGGGGGAGATGTAGGGCCATCGTAGCTACCCAGAGAAAGTGAGGCCAATTATACTCTCTTGGACTCCCAGCCACAGATGGCTGTAGCATCATCAGGGACTGAATTTGCAGTCTCCCGATGATAGGGCCTAGATGGTTGCTACACTTTCTCATTGGTTGAATGAGATTTTGCCAACATTCTATAAAGCTTGTCCAACCTAGCAACAGTTGTCATGAAAGAATGCACTTGTGGGCGGAGCAGGGATACATCGATTATGTCAGGAGCTCTGTCATGTTAAAGTCTATGTCTATGCTATGAGTATAAAAATTATAATTCGCAAAAGTGGCTATGATGTTTTCCCCATCAGATATTTATTTATTTTATTTTTTGTTTTTTTCCTATGAAATGTCCATTGCATAAGGTACCTCTCTCATTTCTTCTCATACATCACAGGTTCTTATCACAGCCTACAGACTGGATGTTTTCAGCAATGTGACCTTGTTTAAAATCAGCCCTGCTGCCTATGCCATTACTACAGAGTGACAGTATCCCTGCTAGTTCTCAATGAAGGGCATCGAGAGAGAGAGAGAGAGAGAGAGAGAGAGAGAGAGAGGCAGAGAGAAAGAGAGAGAGAGAGAGAGATAAAGAGAGAGAGAGAGAGAGAGAGAGAGAGAGAGAGATAGAGGTGTAAAAGTTTCTGTCAGGCTGAAAGCACTCTTCTCCTGCTTTCTTACTGTTACTGAGTGTTCACAGCATGCAGAGACCAGGCTGGTGAACCCCCGCTATGAGCTGACAGCTAACCTCCCATTGGGTGTCATCCGAACCCCCCACACACACTCTGTAAATGTGTCTTATACTCTGACTGTTATTGTCGGAGACATAAATGCTTTATGCTCTTTCTCTTAAAGTGTCAACTACCCGTTCTTAGAAGACGAAAAAAAATAGAAAATAGGTACACTATGTCTTTCTCTCTCTTTCTCTCTCTCCCTCTCTCTCTCTTTCCCTCTCCCACACACACACACATACACACACACACATTTATATATTTTATCAGGACACGTGGTAACATGTGTCCCATATGTATATATATGTATATATATGTATATATATATATATATATATATACACTGTGCACAAATCAGAGACCCATCATTTATTAAAATTCCAGTTAAAATAGCCATTAAGTATAAGTTATTAATTTTTCAGGGGATATTTCTAAGGAGATCATATATAACACATAAAATGACCCACTTGGAAGGAAAATAGGTGAAAAACTGGACTTCAAAAAGAATAAAAGATACAAATAAAATGTGACTCCTAACAGCTGTGCAAAACTTGGTAGACTGCCAAAGCCCTTCATATTTGAGAGGATGCTATCCATCTTTCCACTGTGATAAGACAACTTAGCACTATGGGTCTGTAAGGATGTGAAGCTGTTAAGGAAATAGGCAAAAAAGAAGAAGATTTACAAATCAAACAAAGAAGCTGCTGGTGTTCTCAGAACAATGGACTCAACATCACTAAGATGAGAAGCAGAAAATACAAAACTATCCCTGCAAATTTCTCTGAAAACACAGAAAGCAATTATCCTGAAAAGAATGGAAAGGCAATGGAAAGGCAAAGAATAGACACAATAAATACTGAAAATTTTAGACAAGTTAAGCCAGTTAAATGGCCAAGATCCACCAGTGGGTCCAAAGTTTTACTATACACTTCTATAACCTAATAATAACAATACTAAAGTCCATGTAGTTAGTGAATAATAATCTCTAGTACGTAATGAGCCTAAGATTTTAAGTGGTTAAGTTGTTGACGCTTGTATGTAATTGTTAAATTTATGCTTACTGCTTTTTTCTGAAGCTGAAAAATGAAAAATTTAATGGATGTTACTTAATAGCTGTTTTGATATGTCACGTGTTTTACATATACACATATAGAAAAATGTATTGTAATGGTTGCTGTAGTTTCACACTCTTTTGTTGATTTACATGTTATTTGCTCTATGTGTAGTCCTGCATTCATGCTGGTGAATCAATATGTGATTGGCCAGATTTTAGCAGTTTTTAGCCACTTCCCTTTCAATTGATATTAGACCTAGGTTTGGAAATCACTGCAGCCAAATTAAACTGTTGAATCAAATCGATAATGAACAAAAATAATTTGACATGATACAACGGTATCCTGGTTCTTTACTTTATCTGATACAGCACAAATAAGGAGTAGCTGAAAATGTGCCTTACCGTCAGATTCATTTTCAGTTTATTACAACTTGTAACATTATGAAAGCATTAAATATCATCATATATTCTTGCCAGTGAATTGGCACATTATGTCGGGTGTCATTTCGGATCCATTTGTGTTCAAAGCTCATCACTGACCTCCAAATGTAGCCTGAACTAATTTGGCCTACAGAGAGAAGAGCTCACTCTCAGGGTCATCTCATTCAACTACATCATCCCTCTGTCTCCATAGAACTGAACGTTTTATTTATGAAGTTTCCTGGAAAATATAACATTTCCATCAATTATTAAACATGATTTGTGTCGTTTATTGTTGGTCTGCTGCAGCAGTGTCCCTGAGACATGAAGATTACATCTATTTAGCTTTTACACTTAATGCCTGAATAATGGATCCAATACCAAGCAAATAGGATTAGTTGCCAAGGAAACGCACAAGCTGTGGAAATGCTATTGGCTGTGCACTCACAAGCTCAGTCACTCATGGAGACAGAAAGTGAAAAATAAAATTTGCCCTATTGTCTGCACTTTGTCCACCGCTTCCAACTCACGCTGGAGTGGCCTCTCTCTCTCGCTCTCTCATTCTCTCTCTCTGTGTGACCTCTGAGGATTACTCCCATCAACAAAAATCACCCTTTTATACTGTTAGTCATATATACACTTCATCAGATCATACCCCTCCCCACACACACACACTTCTGTACATTTAAATGCACAACTACTGCTTATTTGCTTAATTTAACATACTGGAAACCAAAAATAACCCATAAAATGCAACCCATGCAAAAGTTATGGCACATTTGACATTTTATGTTTTATGTTAAGCTTGGCAAGTAAATAGCAACTGTGCACTAAAATTAGCATAAAAAAGCCTGTGTTCCCTGTAAAGAACTTATCTTCACTTCAATCAACAAAACATGTAATTTGACCTGGGGCATTCAAACTTTTGCACAAACAGTACAGTTTTAGGATGTACGAACGTTTATACACTAAATTTAAAGTATTTTGGTAACAAAAAGTTGTTATCAAAAAAAATAGTGTTTTTAAATAAAATTTGATAAGCAACATTCTGCTACTGGTTTTCAAAAAAAAGGATATTCTGGATATCAATTTTATTATAAGGTTATTCTCAATACTATACAATGTTCTTAGTTATTAGGGAATCGTCTACAGCTCTGTTCACAATTAAAAATGTCTTTTTTTTTTACAGCCTCCTGCAAATTGTTTAAAACGAGGAATAGTAGCATTGTGTCAGAATAATGTTATACATGCATCTGTAACAAAATCAGCTTTATATTACTCAAAGCAGTGATTCCAAATGGTACTATATGTGCCATATGTATTATATGTATGTCAATATCTATATGTAATAATTATCTGTCCTGTACAAATCATGTAGACGTTTGTAATAATATCAGTGTCCAAAAAGAAATAGCTGCTCTTTTGGTTAAAAGAACATAAAGATGAAGCTTTGGTAAAAGGCAGTTTATGAAGTCAGGGTTATTTTATACACCCTGTAGGTTTAATCCTGTTTTCTCTGGATTTCCTACGTCAGACATTTTTGTCCTGAAAATGTAAAAAAAAAACAAACAAACAAACAAATACAGACACACATATTTTATCTCTCCATCTTTCTCTCTCTCTCTCTCTCTCTGAATGAACTTCATTTAACTTCATCTTAATATGGATGTACTGAAGGTAAATGCATTAGGAATTCATAATCACTCTGCGATTCAAAGTTATTTAAAGGCCCATCTGGAGGCTAATTCTGCTTTGATAATCACTGTGATGCTCACGACAAACCTTCACAAGCACAGCTCACGCTGCAGCCGTCCGAGACCC